GACAGAATCATATATCTGTATTAGCCAGCAATGCAATTACCTGTAGTTTTTCTCTTAATTCAGGGCTGATCTCATGTCTCTCCCCATAACTTTTGCAGACAGTCTATTATCTGGACACTTGCTACAGAGACACCAGAGTCCTTTTGCTCTCCATCAATGGATTCTGTTTCTTTCAAATCAAGAGAACTCAAGGTCTGAGCTAGGGATCTGCTGGTGCAAGTAAAGCCCTTCAGGGTTGGCTTAGAGGCTTCTAGATCCACAATTCAGAAGTGCTTAACCCTATCCCCCAAATAGGTTCAGTAGTTTGAATAGTGAAACCCAGTGTGTTGTTGTGGTTTGATCTTTGTACTATGACTCTGAAGGCAGGGTTTGAATCCCTGTTCAGCCATGAAACTCATTGGATGACCCTGGGCAAGTCACACTCTCTCAGCCTCAGTGGATGGTAGTGGAAACCATTCCTCTGAAGAAACGGCCAAGAAACCTTATGATAGGTTTGTCTTAGAGTCACCAGATACACCAATTCCCTTTAACTTTTTGGGCCAAAGGAAGCTCTGTTTAGCTTTCCATGTTCATGTATATTTGGAAGGATGGAGAGAATGCAGATTATTTATTTGCAAATGCCAGTAGCAAAGTTTCTATGCTTTAAATCAGTTTTCTTCCAACCTGGCACCCTTTCAATGTTTTGGAACACATTTCCCAACATCCATGGCCACTGACCATGCTGGCTATGGATGATGGGAGCTACAGTCCATACTGTTTAGGGGATGGGTAGACGCTGTGTTGAGGAAGGCTGCTTTATGTATGCATATTTGGAATGTATAACTCCCATCTTTCATCCACCAAGAGCAAGATATACTTTTAAATCAGGGGTAGGCAACCTTTCCCCTTTAAGGGCTGAGGGACTTCAGCTCCCAGAAGCCTCAGCCATGTTGGCCAATAGTCCCATGTTGGCCAATAGCTCCTGGGATTCTGGGAGCTGAAGTCCCTCGGCCCTTAAAGGGGAAAGGTTGCCTACCCCGTTTTAAATAATTAAAAACTTTTCATAGAATTAAAACTACAGATACAAATGAAAGGAAGATAAAGAAAAAAGGGGAGAGAAAAAGAGGGGGGAAAGAACCAAAAATACACCTTGCCATGGTATTAAAATGAAAATGACATAAAATATCACACAAGGATTAGAAGCTAGGCTGAACAGAATGGTCTTTACTGCCAGTCTAAAGCAAATTTTTAAAAGAACCAATTTCAGGTCCCCTGGTGTCAGATGGATGGAAACTGGCTAAGCAGCCAAAAACAAAACAAAAGCAAAGCAAAGAACCCTAAACAGTTTTGTAATTATTACAAGGGATTTAAACGCTTTGAAATTCCTGCCAGCCTGCAGCTTATTTAGATTTTTAAAAATATATATATATCATTTGAAAATTCTCAAAGCTTTCTATTCCCCATAGTAATCTCACATGCCTTTCATATCTAAGCAATGGGGAAGTTTTCCTTCTCAGTCTCTCTGGTGTGTGTGTGTTTTCTTTTTGCTCACGCATTTATTTCTTCATTTTACAAACTCGTTGGAGACTCTTAGATGTCTGTGATGCATTTCAAATGGTGGAATCTTTTAATCTGTTTACATCCGTAAAGAAGCATGCAATCGTAGCTCAAAAAATGGTTTTACATGGTCTCCTGTGCCTGATTCCTGTCCCCCAACTATTCCTACAAGGAATCATATGGGGTGTATGTGTGTGTGTGTATATATATATATATATATATATATATATATATATATATATATATATATGAAAATGCAGACAATGGAGTTCAGGTTTGCCCCAGAGGAGCAATTGTGGAGGTGATCAAAGTAATCTACCCCACCCCACTGCTCAATGCAAATGGAGGTAGGGCAACTCCAACAAATTATTATTATTATTATTATTATTATTATTATTATTATTATGCTTTATTTGTATAGCGCTGTAAATTTACACAGCTCTGTACATACATAACAAATGGCTAGGCAATCTCTGTTGGAGGACCAGGGGTGTTGTGATGGAGGGCTCATTTGCCCCTTCTAGTAGTGACTTCCATGTCAGTAGGATGATGAATCCACCCCAGGTCTTAGATTGAACTTCAAGTGTGCTATCAAAGGTGCTAAGCCCAATTTGGAGATAGAATTCAGGACCCTGGACAGCTCCTTTAATGTACATTTTATAACCTGGATTCACTGCGCTACTGATTCAGGGCTTGTCTACACTGGCCAGAATACTCTGGCCTGTTCTTGGAGCATTCTGGCTCTGGATCTAGCATGGATTCCCCTGTTACCTCCATACTTTAGCAATGCTAGGTGGCTGTCTACACATTGTGTCATTTGGTGCCACTGGCGCTGGATCCCTCTAAGGTCAAAAATGCATTGCCTAGTTGTGACCCCAGAAACACCAGGATTTTCCTCCTATTTGTTTAGGAGGGTAGATATTGATCAGCAGAGGCAAGGCACTTTGAGAGCACAGCCTCAGAAGAGATCACTAAGGATAAAGCCAAAGGGTTCATCCCTGTGAGAATGGAAACACTGATGCTTCGCAACATAATGAAGTTATCATCAGGGCATAAGAGGAAAAGCTTAAAGGACTGTCTCTTTTCCCAAGACAGCAATCCAGACAGAGGATGGATTAAAACAAACAAACAAACAAGAAAACCACTACTACAAGGTTATCACTGACGTAGTTGACATTACTGATAAGAAGCACATGAATAACATCATCTGCCAAGAGCTGATGGATGATAAAAGGGATTTGTGAAGAAGTGACAAACTGATAGCAGGATATCCTACAGAGATCTGGCAAGCCAAATACTGGTCTTTATGGAGCCCAAAACAGCACCTTCCAGACCCAGGAGGAAAGGATCATCCATCTTGAAGAAAGCCCCAATGTGGTAGATGCACACCCATCTCAAGGCACCCTCAGAAGGAGAAAAGCTCCAAAGGTCCAGATTTTGTGAGATTGTCCATGCAGATAAAGAGAGAGTTTCAAGTTGGTTGACAGCTGAGTGTGTGAGGACTCTCTTCAGGGCATGGACCATTTTAACTTTGGCCTCAGGCAGCACTGTTTTAAATGCACTGTTTTAAAATCAAGGACATCCAGTTCAGGTAAGGAGAATTTCTAATCCTCAAACCTAACTTGTAATGAAGATTTCCAAATGCTTTTTACTCCACGGTTCCACCTTAAAAGTATAAATGCGCTAATCGATAGTGGAAGATTAAAACCACACATTTTGCAGGGTTGGGGAATGGCGGCGACCCTGACTACGCAGCAGTTTTGCGAAAGACCGATTAATCCTGACTAATGGTTTTAGAGCCCCAAATCAAACACAGATTTCATGGGTCACATTAATATATTGACCTTGAGGGCGGCCAAGCCGTATCAGTATCAGTCGGGGATAAACACAACACTGAGAATGTGAGCGCCAATAGCAGTTGAAATAGATCTCTGGGGGCCCCTTGAGAATGCTAAATCAGGACACACACCCCATTTTTGAACCCCCCTTTTGGATGACCTGTCTCACCTGCCACCTTGCCTTCCTGATGTGTCGACTGTAATTAATTGTCTTTTATCAGATTAAACTAGAGGTGAACCCACCAGCTATTTGCCTTCATCTGCACAGCTGTGAAGACATAGCCTTGTAGGTGAGCAACAGGGAAGGAAGGGAGGAGGAAGGGAGGCAGAATATACGCCAAGGAAGATGGTGATGGTATATTATGCCCCTCTCGCATGGCTATTCAATTTGAGAGTTAATTGGATTGTATTGAAAAACATTGCATCTCAGCCGAGGCCAGTTTAATAGAGATGTGCTCTTCCTCGGTGTGCTCCCCACTTCCCTCCCCAAAAGCAGTAATTTTGAAAGGGGGCACAGAGATGGCCATCAGCGCCATGTTGCAATCCCAGCTGCCGGATGCTGATACGGTATTGAACAGGGAAATAAAAGCCGTTGGATTACACCAGTAGAGCTCTCTGAACAGACAAATGCTTCCTAGATAGGCCTGGCTCTGCTTGGTCTGTTCTTCAGAGATAAGGGGGAGGAAGGAAGCAAGAAACCCTCCTGGATGATGGAAGTGGGGAGGGGGGGGGGAAACAAATCCCTGCTACCCAGTTTGCATGACATGACCCTGTCGGTTTGCAATGAGAGCTGCTGTTTCTGTAATGGCCTAGAATAGGGTGGGGGCATGAAAGTCATTGAGAAACTTCCCACGGCCTTGGACTGAGCCTGTTCAAAGATACATGTTAGAAGGTGTAGAAATCAGGCTTAAAGACCATGATCAGATAAATATGTTGAGTAATCCCACCCGCAAAATGTGCAAAGCACCAGCCATACTAATGAAAAGGAAGTGGAAGGTGAGAAGGAGGAAGAGGAAGAGGATAATGTTAATGACAACAGCAGCACCACCAACAAATTTTGTTCCAGTCGTGGCAGTTGCTCTGGGAGCAATTCCAAACAGAACTGGCAAAACATCAGAATGATCACAATAGAGCCAGAGGACTTCTTTCTTTCAATGAGTCTCAAAGGTGCTACAAGATCTCTCTACATACTATTCTACAGACTAACATGGCTATATCTTTGAATTAAACATAGTTCAACCTCGGTTACAGCCTAACAGATACAGAAAACGTGGAAGGACATCACCCCCCAGAAAACCTGTTGCAACAACCAGGTAATGGCCAAAACTTGTCCACGTAAAAATGATCTTTTTTCTACTAGCATAGGATCCAACCAGGCTTCTTGTAGGAGGGAGTTGCACAGCTTGGGAATAGCTATTGAGAAAGCCCTATCCCGCTGCTCCGTGCACAATCTGCAACGGGATGCAATAGAAACATTTCCCAGCAGATAGAGATGCCCCTGTTTAAAATATATCCAACAAAGGAGAGTTCACTATCTTGGCAAGATTTGTTCAGAGGAGATTTGCCATTGCCTTCCCCTGAGGCTGAGAGCGTATGACTTGCCCAAGGTCACCCAGTGGGTTTCCATGGCCGAGCTGGGAATCGAACCCTGGTCTCTAGAGTTATATTCCTACAGTCAAACCACTACATCATTCAGGCTCATGAATTCATTGCATCCAACTTAAAATGTTTATTATATTTTAAAAACACAGTTATAACAGACAAATCATCATTACAAACACAAACAAACTCATACACTCCTACCGTCCCAATCAAAAACAATCTCTACCTAATATACTTAGAGACAGAGACACAAACCTGGCTAATTTAATAATGTATTATCTACAATGTATTATCTATTATCTATCTCTATTTATTTTTACTTGTTAATGTTAATCCCTATATTTTCTCTATTCTCTTCTACCTATGTTATTGCAGTATACTATAATAACAGGAGAGTCGCAGTACCTTCATTTCATTTATGCTATAATAGCAAGAGCATCGTAGCACCTTCAACTTTCATCCATTTTCTAATAAAATTTTAAACTTATCCACTCCCCCTCATGGCATTCTTCTCTCTCTCTCTCTCTCTCTCTC